GGCGCTGTCACCTCCGCGAGCAGGAACCGCCAACCCGAGGAGGACAGAGAAAGTCACAGGAAGGTGGTTGTATTTGCCCCGGTTCCTTTTCACTCTGAATACGACACTTCGCTAGATCCTTCTGAGGCGATCGTTTTAGTTTATTTATTTTTAAAAAATATATATTTTATTGACTTTTTACAGAGAGGAAGGGAGAGGGATAGAGAGTCAGAAACATCGATGAGAGAGAAACATCGATCAGCTGCCTCCTGCACGCCCCACCACTGGGGATGTGCCCGCAACCCAGGTACATGCCCTTGACCGGAATCGAACCCGGGACCCTTCAGTCCGCAGGCCGACGCTCTATCCACTGAGCCAAACCGGTTATGGCAATATGTTCTATATTCTTATTTATTTTTTAAAATACATTTTGATTGATTTCAGGAATGGGCATCCTGTGCTGACACATCATGTTTTAAAAAGACTCTAAGCAGAGGATACGAACCTTTAAACATCTGGGTGTCTGTTCTTCGGCTTTCCTTTATGTTTGCAATAGCTTATTAGAAATTATTTTATTTAAAAAAAAAAAAGCCTTAGCCCTGACCGGTGTGGCTTGGTGGATAGAATGTCAGCCTGCGGACTGAAGGGTCCCAGGTTCGATTCCAGTCAACCTGTGGGTAGCGGCCCCTTTGGGGGTCGAATGATCCTTTCACAGGGGGGGCCTAAGACCGACCATCCTGCATATCAGGTATTTACATGACGATTCATAACAGTAGCAACATGACAGTTATGAAGTAGCCACGAAAATAATGTTATGGTTGGGTCACAACATGAGGAACTGTATTTAAAGGGCCAGAAGGCTGAGAAGCACTGAATTCTAGTCCCATAAAAATCCCTCTATTTACCCTCATCCGTAACAAAAGAGTTTCATGATGGAAGCCGGTTTCGCGGAAAGATCTCACTTGTTAGACAAGTATCCGTGTCTGTTTCTACGTCGCGTGTCAGCGTGTCCGTTTCCATCCTCTGGGGATGGATGTGAGGTGCAGAAGGTGCAGTGGGCTCTGCCCGTCAGCACGTGCAGGTCTGAGATGTATGCTCATCGTGGGGTGAGCAATGCTCGCCGGGGCCGCAGCCTGGGGGTCCCCCGTCCTCGTTTCTCTCCTGAGCCCGAGGGGCTGCCGACGCCCTCGTAGCATTGCACAGGACACCAGGGCTTTTGCCTCTTCCTTGTCCCGTTTAATTCTCCCGGGAACCCTGTGAACTTGGGGGAAAGGCACTCAGAATCTGTCGCATTTCCAAATTAAACATGACACTTGCTGGAAATGAGAATGCAGGAGCCAGTGTGGTCCGGGGAGAAAAGATCTGAGGTGACCCAATTTCCAAGTCAACTGTCTAAAGGCCCAATTTCTGGGTTAACTCTGCCAGCTGTTTCCCAGCTCGGAAGGCGCCGTTCCGCCCCTTTGGCCACCTTTTAATTAATGTCCTTTTAATGTGCACAAATCCAGGCACTGGGCCTCTAGTAGACTGTGATACAGTTGTGAATATAAGACTTTAATTGTCTTCGAAGTTTTATATTTCACCTATGAATTGAACTAAACCCTGAATTTTCCTAATTTTCTTAAACATTTGACTTCAACCCTCCAAACGAATGTTTTCATTCTTCTCCCATCCTTAGATTTGGAATTAGAACTAAAATATCTTTTTCCTTCCACCAGACCATTTGTCATAATTCTTGCTGTTCTAGCTTTTGCCCCAGTAATACGAACATTTATAACAGTTTGTCTCCGCCGGGTTATAAGCTCTGCTTGCACTCAGAGAATTCCACCTCGGGGCACCACGGCCACCTCTGTGCCCAGGCCTCATCGACCCTCTGACAGAGCGAGATCTCTTGGCTCTGAAGGAAAGCAGCTACAGGGAGCCCCTGAGCCCCTTTTCTCTGACAGAGTTCAGAGCCATGATCCTTGAGGTGGGACGTGGTCGGCAGTTAGACAAGAACAGAGCGAGGACGATGGGCCAGCTGCAGAAGATCACCACGGTGGAAAGCCCCAGGTGGGACCTCGCCCCCAGGGTGACCCTCCTGCCCTAGAACATGGCCGGTTGTGGGGTTTGGATCCCCTGGCCTTTCCCCCGAGAGATAACATTGAGGCCTCAGTTGTATTTCAGCTCCAGGCCCAGAAAAAGCAACAAAACCAGCCACGGCAGAGGCCAGGACCAGCTGCAGGGAATAATGACCCCGCCCTGGTGCCGGCCCATCAATCCGTGGAGACCACAACCCTGAAAGGACACACCTGGAAAGCTGCTGGACCTTCTGTTGAGATCTTCCCCTGGGACCTTCCCTAAAATCTCCACCTTAAAGCCCTTGGGACTGAGGACCAAGTTTGTCAGCCCTCCCGGGAGCCTGTCCCTCCCTCCAGGAGCCTGTCCCTTCCTCCCGGGAGCCTGTCCCTCCCTCCCGGGATCCTGTCCCTCCCTCCCGGGAGCCTGTCCTTCCCTCCAGGGAGCCTGTCCCTCCCTCCAGGGAGCCTGTCCCTCCCTTCCAGC